CCAACTGCAAATCCTCTTCACGTGCACTTTACTCGGCAGGATGAAACACTGCTTGATGATATAACTAAGAAGTATTTCACCATATTTGGCCAAAAGCTGCCATCAAATGATGAAAACGTGCCAACAACGCCCATTCCACCTTATGTCGGAGGAAACGTGCAATCACAATCAGAGCAACCTTATGTAGTAAATGGAGAAAGACAGTATTATACAACTCCAATTCCCAATTACAACCAAAATAGTGAAAATCCCCATGAACATGATCGTGTCAGTAAGGTTCCAATATCGTTAGCAGATGATATAAATATAAATTACCAAAAACCTTTACCACCTGTGAACCCATTCAGTGAATTTATTGATACCAGACAAACCAGTGACTCAGAAACTGGCGGAGCCCTTGTATCTTACAAATTTCCAGGTGATAATGGTCACTTTTATTTCATCACGCCACAAATTGTCGGAGCGCAAGCTCAGCAGCGTGTGTACTCCCTACCAAGCCAAGCACCTCATCAACTGGTGAGATTCAGGCGTAAAAAGAGAAAAGAACAAAGATGAGGGAGTGTAGAAAACACATTCTAATTAAATTCTTAATTCAAAAATAAATTAACTCTCTTTATACAGCTCAGACAGCTCCAACGTACGATGCCATCGACATTCACACGCTAGGAACTATGGCATGTTATTTATGTAGCCATTAAAAGACATTCCAATTACAATAAAAGAATATTTGTAAAAATTAAGCTAAAAAATAACACGTAAGTTAACTAAAATATCAAACATCTTTCAATATACAATAAGCAATGATCGAATCATCACGATTCAAGCGCTATGAAGAGAAAATTCAACTTTCATCACGTAAAAACTGCGCCAATATTCTAGGCAAACATGCTACCCAGACTACAGATGAACGATTCGTGGTATAACGGAAGTACAACAAAATGATGTGCTCAGTGAATCACCATCCAATCACAAGTTGTTACATCAGATGTTTAAAAACTAGCGAAAAAAATGCATGACTGATAATATTGTGCGTGCATGTGTTATAGAACCGTTTCAGTAAACCAATGAACTATCAACGCATAACCACTCAATTCCTTGTGAAATTCTACGAAGGAAAGCCAAGTATTTACTATCATTATCACGTGGGATTTAGCAACAGACAAATACATTCACCATTGTTTCCAAAGTTGCAAATCTTGTGAAAAGATTGGTGGAATACTAGTGCGATGTTGTGTCGATAATGTAAAACCAGACGTACCAATGGCAACGTAAACAAATACAAGTGCCATTACATGTATTATTATGAACTGTTACGATGATGAGACACCGAGCGATGCGAATTATGCCATGTGTTAAGTGAAGTTCACAGACTTATTTATTAAGGACAATTCTTGTATAAGTGATATTAAAATATAAGGCAAATCTAGTTCCATTTCCAATAGATTTTACTTTTGACTGAACTTGTATTTCTTCATTAAATTGAATTCTACATTAAAGCTTGCTATCAGCAATAAACTTCACAATTATCTGTAAGTCCAACAAAACTGAAAGCAGTACGCCACACCTTTGTGCGACCATTTATGAATGAAGTAAGATTCATTTCACGCAAAAAAATTTAATTCCTTAAACGATTATTTCTGCTCCTAACATACACCAGCATTTTAACTATCAATTTTACCCTGAAGATGGAGGTAATATGTTCCTCTGAAACATTATTAACCTCCTTTAACACTTCAGGGCATCATAACCCAGAAGACCACAATCACAATTTTCACTGCAGTAAAAACCTCAATCTCACATACCACAATAATGTTAATATATATATACGTGATACAGTCACCACACTTGGGTGATTTTTTATTTTTATTTAGTGTTCTGTCTGATGACAGGTCCATATGAACAGGATCCTTCCATCCTTTTCTCGGACTGGAACCTGTTCATATACGTTCTTGGCAGATGATCCAGAAGTGGTTTGCCATTGCCTTCTTCTGTGTGTGAATGGAGTAATTGTTGGGATGCCACGGAGAAACCGGGGAAGCCCCCGGAGGAAAACTCCGTGTTGCCTAGACCACGGCCTTGCCCAACACAAGTTATAAATTCGGGTACCGCCGGGAATCGAACCCGAGACCCCAGGATTACAAGGCCAGCGTTCTAACCGCTAGATCACCGTGGCTATACTCGGGTGATACCATTATATATCTACGTGGATTTTTATTGTCACACACGGCACGGTTATATAATCATAAATAAACTTGTCACGAAACACTACAAAAACTGTGTTAATTACATGTACCGCGCGGTCTGAGGCGTGGGCCTTGTGCTGCTTGGTCACTGGACCGTGGGTTCGAATCCCACTCAAGCCATGGATGTTTGTCCGCGTTTTTCTGTGTTGTGCTGTCCTGTGTACAGGTAGAGGCCTTGCGACGGGCCGATCCCTCATCCAAGGAGTCCTACCGAATGTCTATAGATCAAAGCCAACAAAAAGTTGGGACCCGCAGTGCTCAGGCACTTGAAGAACGGGTCGTTCCCAGTATATATACAAATTGTGATTAAATAAACACTGAAAAACAAGACCATTTGTGCTACCACAGAACAGACAACTCAATTTCTGATGGACGCAAACGCTGTTAGAGACTCTCCAAAAAATACTTTCAGGGCCTAGCAATGAATAACCTGCTTATCATATGCGACTGACCTTATGTAGAATAATCTGTGATTCTAAGGCATTTCAAGTAACTGATTTTATGGGACAAAAAAGGCGGCATGGAATATTTCTTTTGCTGTCATGCAATATTAACATAAAATTGTGATTAATTAAACGGTCTTAAAATCCTCAGGGGTACATATATGCACACATGCATGACAATAAAAGCAGAATAAGCCATAAGGGACTGTTTCCTTTGACTTAATTACACTAGGTGCATGGTTTTAATTGCTATAAAATGAAATTGGTGAGATTTCAGGTTCTTATGGCAGCAAGTATAAGATGACTGTATTCTGGGAAGTTGCGCTGTGAAGTCTGGCAGGAGTTTGCCAACATTTCAGAGGTACTTGCTGCACTGAATCTCTCTTATTGCCTGCAAAACTGTTTTACTCTGTGTATCAATCAGCAAAATCTCTAAACTGTCTATACAATTTGCAATTTTATTCAGTCAGCAGCAAAATGAACGATCTGAAAATACATGTCACCAAAGTTCGTGTAAGATACATAATGTGGATAGTTATGAAGTTCATAAACGTGAGCACCACCTACAGGTAAGGAATAAATTTTCCTGTCTTTATAAAATAACCAGACACGTAAGATTATTTTAATGAAATATGAAGTTTTGACAGTGGTGAAAATGTGGACTGTGGTCTTCAGGGTTGTGATGCTGTGTAGACTTGTGGGTAGTTAGCACCATTTCAGAGGCACGTATGACCTCCATCTTCAGGGTAGAACTGATGAAAATGGAGGCAACACATTTCTCCAAAACATCAGAACCATCTACAAGACAAAATATGGTGTCACAACCCAGAAGATCCACAAGTTTATTCTATTTCACTTTTAAATATTAAGTTACTTTGAAACAGGGCCATCTAGAAAGAGTTCTAAAACTTCACGGACTTATTCGATAAAGGTATACAGATGGTGGGGGGATGGCATGCAAGAGATTCTAGGCCTCTGCACTAGCATGTGAATGGTCAAAGTCACGATCCACCTGCTTTACTCTTGGAAAAAGGGCCCCCAGTACTCGCTATGCATACCAAAGAGCCAGTTAGGACATAGTGGTTTACAAATGCAATCATTCTTTGAGATTTAAAAATCAATAAATTTGGTGCCCATTCAAATGGCATGCAACAAAGAATAAAATCACTTCACAGGGACAGGTAATTATTTTTAATCAGAATTGGATAAGAGTATTCCAAAGTGACCACAGGCGGTAGAATCTCACAAGAGAATCTGGGTACATTTATAGATACTTAGATACTTTGACGACCCGTTCTTCAAGTGCTTGAGCACTGCGGGTCCCAACTTTACGTTGGCTTTGATCTATAGACATTCGGTAGGACTCCTTGGACGAGGGATGGGCCAATCGCAAGGCCTCTACCTGTACACAGGACAGCACAACACAGAAAAACGTGGAAAGACATCCATGGATTGAGTGGGATTCGAACCCATGGTTCCAGTGACCGCGAGGCACAAGGCCCACGCCTCAGACCACGCGGCCACTGTGACTCCGATTACTTTTATAGAACATCAAAATATAGTATACAAAAATTAAATTATTAATAATTAATGCAGACATGAATTCCTAAACTGGAGAGAGCCCCCCCACCCCCCACTCTCACATCCCATAACAGGTATAGTAATTATGCATAATGAAACCTACATTTCCATAAACATCTCGATTTTCTTGGTAATACAATATACTTTATACACAATGTGGCAGAAAGTGGAAATTATAAAAGGCCTTGTTCCAAAAAATATCTGAACAATGTAGAAGGCCAGACTGAATTATTTACAAGGTGCATCTGGCCCTTGGGCTATAGTCTACCCATCCCTGAAATTATTGGACGTTATATCCGCACCCCTTGTCTCACTTGACAGTGTGATACTTTAATACAGGAGAATTCTTCAGGTGTAGACAAGAGAGACATCTACTCAGTTAACCTCAATCATTGGAAAACCTAAGTCGGAGCAACTAAGCCACGTGTTTTCAGCATACCAGATGATGGATAAAGTCCAAAAAAACTGAGTAATCCAGATTGTAATAAACCATCGTCAGAACCTTTTAGAGTCTACATAAGTCATGAAAAAACCACTGCCACATAACGACCGCCTCACAGGCAAGCGCCTGGGTCCTGCACCTCCAGACAACCAACAACAGGCATTTTCACCACTGCAAGAACCTCAAATCTCATATTCCATATTAATATTACTTATTCAAACTCTGTTGATCCACAAGTTGAATTCATGCTTTACAAGACGTGCAGCTTGAATTATGATATTGTTTCTATACCTGTATTGAATTCTTGTTCTGCAGTTTCATCTTTGAGTGGCTTGTCATGGAGCCTGAGGTAGACTTCAATTGCACAGCGGGCAGCCTTGAAGTAGAATGGATGAGCGCGCAAAACATCCTCCAACCTCAGCAATCCCACATATGACCGTAGTGTCATCTTACGCATGCAGTACGTGTGGAAGTCAAACTGATCCTCAATAATTTCAGAAAAATGCTGAAATGTTAATATCAAACACTCAATAACATTCAGAAATACTCTTTAAAAATTTTAATTTTCTATTGAAGTATATCTACTGTACATCCTGTGCAAAATGTTTCTGTTTTCATAAAACATCATGTTACATCCTTATAACAAAAGCTTTATAAACAGCAAAGCTGCATATTTGTTAGACATATGC